ACAAAATTTAATTAGTGATGATAGGAATTTTGCAAATGACTACAATAAATGAATTGGTGTTTTTTCTCTTAATTTACCCTATTTTATGAATAATTAATACGCTAGTCTTATTCAGACATTAGGCTTTTCAAATTAATGAATACACGGAATAGATTTAAACGATTTACCTTATTTTATTAAATATTGTAACATAATTGGATGTTGGATAAACTATTCTTGTAACATTATGAAGTGTGAATTCATTTGGTATTGTTTGATTAAATCCTCGCATTGATGTATACGACTGCAACTGATCAGTTTCTTATTGGTATATATACATTGTTATAACTTGTGACCGCCAATTAGAGAGCAGTGACTTATCGATCGGATCAAAGACGCGTAAACACGTGCGGGAAGTCTAGAGTTTTGACTGGCCCTGCCACCCGCCTAGCCCAGCCGGATAAGTCCAGAACACAAGTTTCAGCCTGTGCGATATGAATCCTTATATTTCAAACATACTGAGTTTATATACCAACCAAACAGACCACAACGTACCAATAAAATGTGAAACAGCATTTGTACAAGAATTAGCCAGATGTGGCTGTGAATGAGGGGGGCAGTGACTAATAGACAGGGCATAATTCAAGAATAATAACACGTATAATATTGGTCAATAGGTCAAAATAATGCTTATAATAAGAGGAACATGCATATGAATAGTTTAGTTATTTAATGATTATACGATAAAAATACACGTTTAGTATTGATCCATAAAAGGATCCCAAAGTTACCATTCATGATGTTTATCGGGACCAAACATGCATCCTGTGCGTATTGCCTTGATATTTTCTTAATTCACAAGCATAGGCAGATATAGATAATACCTAGCAGTGGAATTTAGGACACGCGTTTCGTCCTATTTAGAACTCGTCAACTGGATGTACCTGCAACCAGGAATTTATGTTCACTCCGAGACTCAAACACCGTACCGTTCGCTTCGATCATCATCGAGTTATCAGGACTCAGTAGTTAAATGGATAACGTGACGGAGTTCTAAGCGAACGGTACTAGGTTCCATTTACGGAGTGAAAATCAACTTTGAATTCAAGTACACACAGCTAATGAGTTCCAAATAAGAAGAAACACGTGTCTTGGATTCCACTACTAGCCATCACCCATCTTTGCTTACTATGAAAAATGGTTTAGTTTGCCTAATTTATTAAACATTTCTATAATTGTATATGGAGCAGTGATATGTGAATATTCATAAAAATAATGTCATCCAAGCAACAACAAAAACCATTCATTCACTAGGCAAAGAGATATTATTATTTCTTCTTCAATTTAGATGTTTTATCTGTCTATTAGAAGATATTTTCATGGTAGTACAACTATGTACAATGGGAATATTATGAAATGATACTCTAAAGGATACATATTAGTAAGCATTGATTTTTTCAGTCTCTATGGAGTTCAATGTGATTTTTACAAAATAATGATAATTATGCATCTAATAATTAAAATTATATAGTTGCTAGTGTATAGTTTTAGATAGATAATTCCTGAATTTCTAGCATTATGCTAGAAACCTGGATCAGTATTATTAAATCATGTCAAGTGTCAGATAGTAATCTATCAGTCAGATTGAAAGATGATTGTTCAATAATGAAAATATAGTCAATTTAGAAATTTTTGGGCAGCTTAATAGTGATTCATTCGTCTAAACTTTAAGTTTCCGTCGTGTAACTTGAAAGTTTTGGGGTCATTTTTTTTTCCATAGTTGTGATTGTTAAAGAAGATAATTTATAGGATAACTATACTGAGACATGTTTTTCAATCATGAAGCTTTGTTTTACCAATGTCAAATGGAAGTGAAAATGAAAGATTTAAAAATATATTCCTTAAGCGTGAAAAATCAATTCGTCCAGTTGAAATAAGTTTCCCTGATGAAGCTTTTGTTTTATACATGGTTAACTATTCTATTATTTTCTGTTTATCTCTAATCATATGAATGATTGATAGGTTCTATATAAATTGGTTAGATAAATCTATATTGATATGTTAACCAATTATTTGTTGACTTCAATGTTATTCTTGCCGAAATTCTAATTTTTCTTAGGATTTTTTTCTCATTTTTGATTTTTGTCATTTGTACTGTCAATTTTGTATCAGTAATTGTCTCCGTGAACTGATAAGTATGATAATTCATTGTCTCACTGCTAATGTATATTGTTGTCCAGTTTTAATGAATGTTGTTTTCTACAGCTGAGATCATGAGTCGATTGAAACGAGACCAGGAAGAACTGACCTATTGTTTCGTTCTATTGTGCGACTCCTCAGTGGCAGTGAGCATCCAAGATCCCACCTAGCGAGATTCAAATCCAGGAAATATCAGTCTCGCGCGCGAACACTTAACCACTAGATCACCGAGCCGGCCGGCATTCAATGGCGTTAATGTAAAACCTCACCAGTCCACGAAATTGAGCGACACATCCACCATTGTTTTCACTGAGTTGTTATCTCACAACAGATATAGATGAAATCCACTGGTCACTGGTTCTCACTAGAACCCCAGGAAATACGCTTGAAGCCAGTCACAAGTGAGCATATGTTGATTAATATCGGAAGAGGTTTCTCTGTGTATATTATAGAAATTTAAATAGTCGAGATTATGAGTCAATTGAAGCTGGACCGCCATGGAAAACCTGGGATCGTGAGAACGCACTGCTGAAGAGTCCTACGATAGGTTGAAACGGCCAACAGTGCTTCCAGGTTCTCCTTGGTTATCCAGCTTCATTTGATTCATGATCTCAACTATTAAAATTACTACAATATCCACAAATAAACCCTTTCTGATACTAATTAGAATATTATTTTGTTCGTAATCTTAACAAGTCCGTTCCTTTTATCACCATTATATTTCAGTTCACTTGAATTCAATACAACATCTAAATGAACAGTGATATCTTAAGCAATTAACTTCAAGTAGTTACATCTAGAAAACAACATAACACCGACAACTTGCGAGTTAATGATAATTGTCATTAGTTCAGTTTTATTTATCAGAAAAAATCAATATTCACCATATAAGAACACTGAACCGAAGCAATGATTTAATTCTTAATATTACCAAATCTCATGAATGGATCATTGTTAGACCACCATTAAAAACCTAGAATTACTAGATGGCCATTTCATCTTAGTATGAAATTCCTCAGCAATGTGCATCTACGATTCCATACACAACACTCAAATCCACAACCTTCAGTCTCATGCACAAACATGTAACCTCTAGATCACTGACCTGATATTCAACCATGTGAATATCTAACTTCAACCAATATTGTTCTAATATTGATCGATTCATGATATCAATTTAAACTTAACAATCAACATAACCCTATAGAGTTTGTTACCAAACCCGTGGATTTTATTCTATTTTTAGTAACAAATGGAAATCACTATACAATTTTGAGTGAATGATTTATGTTTATAGAAAAATGTCTACTTTTCCTTTAGTCCAGTTCCGTATATACAAAGATGTTTTTTTTTAATATTCCATTTATGGTACTCCGGGAAATATGATGATTTAATAAAGGACAAAAAGAAAACAGTTTTCTGTCATTAAAAGTAGCTTATATATATATACATATATGTCCAGTCACGTTTACATAGTCAATAGGAATATAAAACATAAAATGCCTAGAGGTAAAAAAAACAAAACAAAACCGAGAGAACTTGGTCTTATGTAAATGAATTTCATTTTGTTTACAATCAGCAAAATCTTATAGAACTTTAGAAATTATAAACAGTAAAATAGACTTTATAAGTAACCATAAGGTGTATTATTGTCTAACATTAGTTGTTATACTGTTATTTAGGCAAATGTGACAAGAAATAAAAAAATATATAGAAGAATAGTCTTTGTTTTTGGTCAAAACTAAATAAATATGGATGAGCAATTATGAATAATGATTAGGAGTGAAATATAGGATATGTATTTCGTCTTATTTAGAATTCGTCAGCTGGACATACTTTTGTGGTGTATGCTACTTATATTGATATAAGTAGTATATGATGCGAGATCAAGAAAGGGAGAGCGGGAACACAATGCAATTTGTAAGAAAACGCATGAACATTGAAATGTAACACACTGGATTGATGATTGTACTGGTATGGCCGAGAGTGGAGTGGGCCCACCCTCCCTCTCGAAATGCTCTCACATAGCCACGCGTATATAGCCTCTGCCAGGCAAGTTCAACTCACTGACTTCTCGTGGTAGGGGTGTTGTTTACGAAAATGAGAGGACGAAAAGCGAATGTCTGGTGCTTTAACCGGATTCCAAACCAACGTTGCACATGGGCTCCAGTATCCTGCGGGAACAAATGGCGTATGAACCAATCGTTGGTCACCGACTACCATGGGACGGCATCTCCTCACGGTGCTCCACTGCCTTGTGTTAAATACAATCCTATTGTCCCCACCTGTGTTCTGTTCACTACACTCGTATCTCAGAGTTGATTTTCATTCCACAACTGGAACTCAGTACCTTTCACTTTAAACGCTATCCCGTTATCTACTTAGCTGTTGAATGATGAAAGCCACTTGCTTGTGCAATACGATAAAGTTTAAATTTGAATAAACCATACCAAGTCAACTTAAATATAAATTTGTTCATGATTTAAGGTAAGTTGACTGTATATTTATGACAAAAACTTATTTTGTTAAGTAGAATAAACTATTTCAGTGGTTTATGTTAGCATGAATACATTTCGTATATGGCTTTTTGTTCTATCGTTTCATAATGGATATAGATGTAGTATAGCTTGAGTGATTTAATTGACAACTATATTCTATAAACATTATGGTTATCATCTATTGAAGACAATAAAACAGCACTGAAACAATGGTTCTGCAGTTTGATTACTTATCCAACGCAATATTCTCAATGTTTTTTGTTCATTCAAATTAACAAGAATTTAAATAATATTTTAGAAAAATAATCATACAATTAAACTTACGACCCATTCTTGTGTCTTCGCTAAAATAAGGAACATATATACAGTTTAAGTTAAATCATCTCAAATATTATTCAACAACTACAATATACAAGTGTAAATAGCGATAATTTGGTAGGTAAAAAAATACTATGCTTATTTCAGTAGTTGAGATCATGAGTCAATTGAAGCTAGAGCACCATGGAAAACCTGAAAAAACTGGACATCCATTTCGTCTTATTGTGGGACTTCTCAACAATGACCAGCGGAGCTCACCTGGGTCTGTTGTGAGACAGTAACTCAATGATGACGTGTCGCTTAAATTCGTGGATTAGGTGAGGTTAAACATTAACACTGTTGGATGCCGGCCGGCTCAGTGGTCTAGTAGTTAAGCGATCACGCGCAAGACCATTAGGTCTCGGGTTTGAATCTGGTGTGGCGGGATCATGGACACTCACTGATGAGGTGTCCTGCAATAGGACGAAACGACATGTCATTGCTTCCAGATTTTCCATGGTGATCTAGTTTCAATTGACTCATTATCTCAACTATTGAAATTACTATTGTTTATTAGCTTAACACACTAGACTTATTCTAAACATACTTAATGTATCCAAATAAAGTAGTAACGTATCCTCGCAAAAATTTAATTTTGTAAATTCTTAGAATACTACTTTGTCAAATATTCAAAACATTCATAGCTTTTCATTAACGTTGTACATTCTAAATTCCATGAAGTTTCTTGAACTATGATATTTTCTTTGGTGTCTTACTGGAGTCATTTGTGCAGACAACTAACTATCGTTTGAATAGTGCATTGTGAAACTAAAAACACAAGATTTTCATTAACTCAAGATATCGGTATTCTTTACTAGTTTATATTATTCGTATAATTTTCACTGCTCATATTGTAATGTGCGCTATAAGTAGTATGCGACAGAAGTTGGAAGTGAAACAGAGGAAGGAAAACAAAGAGAAATCCGAATAACAATAAGATGAGAAGAATTACAGGGTATTTAAAAAAGAATTGATGGAATATGTGCAAATCTTATTTTCCAGTACTTCTATCAATTCTCATGATTATTGCAAGCGTACTTGAATGACGAATCATATCTATTACAAAAAATTAGTACATAACATCTTTACAGTTAACACTCATCAGGAAGGAATGTTTATAATCTTCAAGGAACTGTTACTTATTGGTGGATTTATATGCAGGTTACCTAATCTGAGATCTTACGAACTGACTGTTTTTAAGGAAACTGAATACTTTTGGTAGGATAATTGTGAAATTTTAAAGAGAATATCAGTGGAAACAAATCTATCTATCAATCTATCTTATAAGCAGTATTAAACAGTGTAAATGCTTGTCTTTTGGAAGTGAAATAAATTTATTTACTGTTGCTTAATTAAAGGTTATTTAACAGTGATATCATTAAAACGAATAGAATGTTTAATTTTCAAGAAGTGTTAACTTTCCATTCGCTTTCAGGCATGAAACATTAAGACTTAACAGACTATTCATTGAAGCGTAAATCAATAATACCAATTCAATGGTTTCAAAGTTAAACATTCTCTATTGTGTATGACTATCCAATGTTTAAACATTAGACAATTCCAGCATGCATATTGACAAGGAAATTCATATTATGACAGAATAGGATAACCAGTATTTCATCTTTAGTTTTATACAAAATACAATTTCTAATTCAGAGTGAAACAATGTTGTTTATTTTTCGAAATGTGCAAAAATGAGAAATTCAAATCATCTAAGAAGTTTCTTAGATGGTGAAGAAGATTTGTAGCTATGGTAGACTTCTACCTGAAGTTTGTGCTGATAATGTCATTCAGAAGAACGATGAAAGCTACACAACCAAACCATCCAGCTCAGAGAACAAAACTCCATCAAAAAAAAAGAAGTTTCTATCTACAAATCTACTTACAGATTTTCACATTTTGATGATCTTTTTGACATTTGCCCACTAGATAAACTTGGAGGATTAACTGTGAGTGCTGGAACAGTTCGATATTGTGTTTTTGAATCAGTTAAATCATCATTCTCTGCATTTGGAATATCCAATAGATCCAGTAGTGCATATAGTGTAGACATTAATATACGAAACTGATACAAATAATAATAACATATAAGTCCATGTTGATTACAGTAATTATGACTAAATTAATGCATACAATAGTAATATATCTTGTTAAAATAAATTCACAGTTTATTCTAACTCTTGTCTATTCAAAATGTCACACAATCTATGTTATGGCTGTTAGCCTATACCGAATAAAATAGTGAAGGACTAATGAAAAACTGAGCTTTATAGCCTTAAACCCACTGTTTGTCAAAGAATAAAGTATGAACAGAAATACAGTTTGCTGTTCATTTAGCCTTTTCAATCTCCTGAATTATTATTCAATACCCATAATTATAATAAAGATTTTGTTTAAAATGTCGTTGACGAACTGAGTCAGTATGTTGTGAACGACGACGCAGGTGGAGACAAACAATGTATGTTTAATACAAAATTGTAGAATGTTTTAGTAAAATATAATAACCATAAACTGAAAACTTCATTTGCGAATTTCCATCATTTGTCTTTCACATTCTAGACCATTCTTCCAGTTTACAACTACTTTCCATTTTATTTTCTGTTCTCTTCAGCTCGATTATTTTTAGCCTTCTGATGTCAAGTTTTCCAACTCGGATTAGAGTTAGGTAAAACTTATTTCAACAGACATAAGGAGTATAAACCACAAGTATTCCACTTTTGAATATATATGTAAAATCAGTAAGAGTGAAACCAATAAGCATAATTTATTGTTTTTGACTGAGATGATAAACTGATCGATGATAGACCATCATTGAAGACCTAGAAGCACTAGATAGCCGTCTCGTCCTATTGTGGGACTCCACAGTGGTGTTCATCTACGATCGCGCTCGCGGGATCCGAACCTACGGCCTTCAATCTCGTACGCGAACGCTTAAACTCTAGACCACTGGGCCGGCATCCAATGGTGTTAATGTCTAACCTCAATCAATACATTCATTTAATTTGTCTGATATCGTTATTAGTTTATTTTTATATAATATGTACATACTACTCTAAGATTTTATAATCTATTCAAAATTATGTAAACATTACTTACCTCAGTTATACTGACTTTTTTATCAACAACATGAGGTAGTAGACTTGGAAAAATTTCTGTAACAATCAATTGAGGTTCCAATAAATATGATTTTGTATACAGTAACTGTTTCCAAGCATCTTGTATTTCAAAAAATAAAATAAAATTTGAAGAAAAAAATGTGTTTTCCACAATGAATGTGTAACCATCAAATATTGGTAGCAAACAAGTAAACTGTTCAGTAATCTTTTAAACGTTCAAACAAGTCATCTACACTTATCAATACGTTACAGTTTAAACAGGCAATAAAATCATCTGTTGATATCATGTCTTCATTTGACCACATACAACTTTCTTAAAACGTTTTGGTATTACAGACAATACTTTGCCAGCCCATTCAAGATTTAACTCATTTTACATTTGGAAGCAATCAAAAATTGAATAACTGTATCCCCCTAATCGGTGTTCATTTACTAATATAACAGCTCTTACATATAATAGAATATATAACGAACTGAGTTCTTTACTAAACATTCGAAAATTTATTTAAGATTGCTTACAGACCTTGATAATGTTTAATGACATTTAAATGTACACTTGTTACATAACGCTAAAATCATAAGTATCTATGTCAACAAAACAAATCTAAACGCATTTACGAAATTTGTACAAAATATCTTACACTGGTCATTTGTATAAGCTTTTGTGAAGTGGGTTTTAGAAGACGAATGTTTCCCTTTTCTAATTGAAACTCCTGTAATCCGTTTTGCATACTCTCTCTCTCGTTATTTATTTTTATTTATTTGAACACATAAATATTGGTACAAGAGGGCACCAAATATATATGTGCCACACTTTTGTGTGTGAGGTGGTTTTCGGAGGGGGCCGCTCCTCGAGCCTTTGACCTAAAGGTCTGACCCACAAGGCAATTGAGATGCAGTCCCATGGTAGCCGGTGACCAACGATTGGTTCATACACCGCAGTGGGTAGGACTTCCCTGGCAGAGGCTGTATACGCGTGGCTATGTGAGAGCATTTCGAGAGGAAGGGCGGGCCCGCCCCACTCTCGGCCATACCAGGGCATTTGGGGGCAGTCTCTCTCTACATGCATATATATATATATATATATATATATATATATTCACTTGGGTTCGTATTAACAAGACTGTTGATATCTAGGGCATTAATTGATCAGTCTTTATCGATATACATAATGATATGCCAAATGAGTATCTACCTGAACTCAATTCCTTAATAGTTGAGCCAATTAAGTTTTGAGTAATAAATATCAAAAATCAATAATATAAAATAAATCGCTCAACATAATTTCCATTGTCAAACATTAAAGCAAGTTTATATTTCAAAATAATATTTATTTTTATTACTGCTATCATAATCACTGAATTTTAATCAGAATTATGCACGTGGTGTATGCTACTTATATCTGTCAACATAAGTAGTATGTAACACAAATCAAAAATTGGATGGCTAACAACAAAAGGCTAAGAAGATTGAATTAAAGAAAATAGAAAGAAATTGTGAATTGAAAGAATCATACAGTATGTGAATGATCATTGATAGAAGATTTACAAATAAAACATTTAATGTATGATTCACATATTCTGTGTTACTTCCCAAGAAATAATAATTTAGTTATTCCTATCTGACTTCTCGTTCATTACACGCACACAGACACAGACACACACACACACACAGAGATAAACCTTACCATCAATTTATTCATAATGATAATAATAATAATAATAATCGAAACCTAATTAGACATTGATTAATTTATCATGATTTAGTTTCTTTTATCTTTTAATTACTTCAATAAATTAGCAGTTTATTCAAAGAACAAATCAATGAGTTAAAATGAAATGCTAGTTTCCATTCTTTTCTCTTTCTCTTGTCTTATTACCTATTCTATACCCCAACCCTCTTTTTTTTTCTTTTGTCTATTCAATGACATCAATATCAAAGACCTAAAATTCCCCCACCCCCTACCTTTTTTTTTCATATCAACCATCATTATGATTTGGACACACATAAGGTATTATGTAAAATCTGTGTGTATTTATATACTATGAATGCTTGTTTTTTTAATGTGTCATCTGACTACTGATTTAAAAAAAAAGGTATTTCATGTGATTTACTTAATAACTAATTGAATTGAATCATTAAATTGATACCAAATTTTGACAATCTTACTTATTATATTGGGATAAAAATGTATAATGTCTTCTTTTAATATGAAACAATAACCAGTCTTTATCTATATGTGTATACAATATGAAATGATAGGAAGAACTATGTAGAAAATAAATGCGCTCATGGTAACAATCTCTATGAAAACATTTGAAAATGATCAATATAAGAAGGGGGATCATATAAGTTTGTTGTGAGTATTGAGGTTTAGATTCAATTGATATCGATGAAATAGGCTTCATTTTGTGTAAACATATATATATATATATATATATATATATATATATATATATATATATATATATATATATAAAGATTTACAAAACAACCACGTTGTCTGTTAAATAAAGAATACTACAATGTTTACTTATGAACAATAAAGAATAATGTTGTTTCTTAAATTCACTTGGTATTATTTGGTTGGATCTTCACATTGATGTTTAGGACTGCAATTAATCAGTCTCTTGTTAATATATATGCATACCGTGTGTATTGCCTCCATATAGCATTATATGCAAAGAAGGATAATGGCTAGCAGTGGAATCCAGTATTTTGGATGTACTGGCACTTCAGAGTTAACTGTTTACTCTGGGGCTCGAACTCAGTACCGTTGGCTTCAAGCGCCATAGCGTTATTCAATAAGAGACTGATTAATTGCAGTCCTAAACATCAATAAGATCTAAACAAACAATACTAATTGAATTTAAAACTTCACCCGTTGCGCAAACAAGTGGCTATCATGACTCAATAGGGAAGTGGATAACGCGATGGCGTTTGAAGTGAACAAAACTGGGTTCGAGTCCCAGAATGAGCATCAACACTGAGACGCAGGTACATCCATCTAACGAGTCCCAAATAGGACGAAACGGGTGTCCTGTATTGCACTGCTAGTTACTATCCATGTTTGCATATAATGTTGTTTCTTGTTATTTGTAACAATAATGATAAGACTTTACTTTATACCAGATTGATTTAAGGAATTTGAAGTCAATTTAAATTAATGACATCATAAACGAAAAGAACTTGTCAGTTAATCAACGATGGAATAATCAAAATCAGTTAACAATATGAATAAAAAGTACTTCATTTAAAAGAGTTCTAACTATTTGGTAACTAGTGACTACCTTCTGAAATAATTCACATAATTTATGAGATAGGTTGACATGAAAAGAGAAATAATAAAGTCATGACAAGCAACGAAAGCTATTTCGGAGGAGATGACGCTATGTCACCCAATTTAAAGTTTGCAGAATACTAAGATTTAGTTTTGTCCTTATGTTATTCTATAAACAATAAGCTTTCTAAGCAAAGATGGATAGTGACTAGCAGTGGAATCCAGGACGCGCGTTTCGTCCTGTTGGGACTCGCCAGCTGGATGTACCTGCATCTCAGAGTTGATGTTCACTCTGGGACTCGAACTCAGTACCGTCCGTTTCAAACGCCATCGCGTTATCCACTTAGCTACTGAGTCCTGATAGCCACTTGCTTGTGCAATGGGTTGAAGTTGGTACATCCAGCTGACGAGTCCCAAACAGGACGAAACGCGCGTCCTGGATTCCACTGCTAGTCACTATCCATCTTTGCTTATAATGCTTGTAAATTTAGGCAATATCGAGGCATACGCACAGTATGCACATATGCCAATAAGAGATTGATCAGTTTCAGTCCAAAAACATCAATGGGAAAATTCAAGTAAAACAATATCAAGTGAATAAGCTTTCGTTTGATATATGATTCACTGTCATATTCTTATCTGTTCCAAAGCTATTGTAATTTAACCTTTTGTACTTTATTTTTCAATCCTAATTCCCAGTTTAGATATCTGTATTTTTCTAATTGTTTGTGAGTCGTGGCCATGTTAGTCATATATCTCTTTACACTAATCGGAATCAAGAATCAGGACTCATCTTCTGTCTCACATATTCGCTTGTCAAACAATCAGCTAATAGAATAGTTTTCGTTTGCCTAACATGAGCTGTTAGTCTCAGATCGGACTCACACATTTTTAGCCTCAAATCTGAACTAGTTAGCTTAACATGTTAATGCATTAACCTAGATCAATACAAGTTATCTTCTGTACATTAACGGGTAGACATATCAAGAACTTAATACACGTAATCGGAAGATTTCAACCATGTTCGAAGTTAGGAATTTATTGGTTATCAGAAAACGTTTGTGGAGATTTTAGAGATTTCACAGAATGAAATCATGAGTCAATTGAAGCTAGACCACCATGCGGGATCGTGGATGCGCACTGCTGAGGAGTCCCATACTAGGACAAAACGGCCGTCCAGTGCTTCCAGGTTTTCCATGGTGGTCTAGCTTCAATTGGCTCATGATTTCATTCTGTGAAATTCATTGATTGTTATTTAGGATAGTAGATAAAGTATCAGAATTTGAAGCAACACATCTTGGATTTGAGTCTTGGTTTGCTTATCAGCACTAAAATTTAGCTGATGAGCCTGAAATGGAACAAAATATGCTCCTTAGATTTCACTGTTAAAAACAATCCAAATAGATTAAGTTATCGAGATCAAAGGCTACATCAAACAATTGCTCATAATAAACAAATAGCAACAAAGACTAATTCGTTAGGAGGCTTGATATTAAATATGATAGAATAAAAACGTTAACTGGTGAACAAATTACTACAGGTAAACTTACTGCATAATTCAGAAATCGGTTGTTCAACACGATTACTCTGTGTTTGATCATGTTCATCATAAGCTTTATCATCGACAATATCTATATTGAAATCATGGGCGCATTCATTAGCTGACTTATTATTGTTTATATTTAACTTGAGTTCATTTGAAACAGTCAAAAGAAATGGTATTACATCATTCAGAATAATTGCATCTGATAAACGTGTTAGTATAGTGACTAAACAATGTAATGAAGCTAACTAAAGAATATAAAATAGGAAATGAAATTAATAATATACAGTACGTGGATACATTTACATGTAGATAAATATACCATTAGGCATTTCTAATTAACAAAACGGTATTAATTTTCGTTTAACTACCTTTAGTGAACTGTCAATAAAGCGTTATTTATGTGATATCCAGCCCTCAAATGCCCTGTTACGACTGAGAGTAGGGAGAGTCCGCTCTCCCTCTCTAAATGCTCTCACATGGCCACGCGTATTTAGCCTCTGCCAGGGAAGTCCTACTCACTAGCTTCTCGCACCACGGGTGTTGTTTACGAAAGTGAGAGGACGAAAAGTGATTGTTCGGTGCTTTAACCGGGTTGATAGACATGGAGAGTTCACTGAGGGGAGTTGGAAAACCCTGATTCCAAACCAATGTTGCACATGGGCTCCAGTACCCTGCGGGAACAAATGGAGTATGAACCAATCGTTGGTCACTGGCTACCATGGGACTGCATCTCCTAGCGTTGCTCCACTGCCTTTTCGACTACACCTTCAGGTCGAAGGCTCCGGGTGTGGTCCCCTAATAAAACCACCTTCTTTGATGTGGGTACCGAGGCAGTATTACATCCCACACACAAATCAAGTGACTTACGTGGCACATATCTATTTGTTGACTCCTTGTACAAATGTTTATATGCTAAAATAAATAAATAATATCCAGTCACTTTGACTAGTTAACATAATACAACATGATCAGTAAAATTCGGCCAGAAATGAGATATATATATACTCCTGAGATTATATAATCATTTTAATGTAACAGATTAAATCAACGGTCAGCTATTTTTTTGAAAACTGGTGGATTATTTCAACATACAGAACTGATTGGTTTGTTCATTATGCTAAATAGTGAAGAATATCACATTAGTCTTTTTTATAGTACTGGTTAGACTCTATTGATCAAGTTGCTATTTGGCTGCAAGTTTAGACTTCCTGAGATCATGTAGTTGGAAGTAGTCAACATAAGACACTTATATTCTTAAAGAAACTGATATTCAATTTGAACTGAAACCTACATCATACAACTTTATAATTTGAAGCGTTACAACTAATCTACTCGAGCTTCATCTAACCTCGATCGAACTAAGATACTAACATAAACTCACCCTTAAATAGTCACTATTTCTATATTCACATAAACCTTAGTACTAATCGATTTCTATCAATTAAATTGAATTTAATCTTCTCCCTCTAGACTGCTGGTATAGTTCCTGATAAAGGTTAATTAGCTCAAAATCTAAGTTCAGAGTTTTCTGTTGATCAACATTAGCAACCGAATATTGATTTATTTCATTTATCACAATCACAAAGTCGTTTCCTAATATAAACATAATGATAGAGATAGATAAAGTATTTACTTTATTAATTATAGAAAATTTATTATAATCAAACAAATAATGTACTTTCATAAAACTTCCGTTTTAGTGGTGTCTATCTATTTATAATGAAGGTTATGTTTGTATGTGAAATGCTTTTTTCTAACCACATTGCAATGATAAATAATGACAAATATCTAAACCCCTTCTGATAATAATCATCTGCTCACTAGTGACTGACTTCAAGAGATACTTCTGGGGTTCTAGTGAGAAGCCATTAACAGAGGAGCTCAACTAGGTGTGCTGTGAGATTTCAACTCACTGAAGACAATGGTGTACGGTGGTGCAATTTCGTGGATTGGTTGAAGTTAGACATTAACACCGTTGGATGCCGGCCAGCTCAGTTGTCTAGTTGGTTAAGCGCCTGGCGCGAGACTGATAGGTTCTGGGTTCGAATCCCCCGGGGTGTAGGATCCTGGATGCGCACTGCTGAGGAGTCCCATACTAGAACGAAATGGCCGTCCAGTGCTTCCAGGTTTTCCATGTTGGTCTTGCTTTAATTGACTCATGATTTCAATTAGTGAAATTTCTGAAATCTCCACAAAAACCCCTTCTGATTGTTTTTAATCTGTTTTTGGTTGAAATCATGAATTGATTGATGTTAGATTATCATTAAAAATCTGGAACCACTGGATGATCAAGTATTGGCTTTAAAATGATTTCTTGAATTTTTAGTGAGAAGCTGTGACTTGTTAGTGTAGTCCAGGTAGAGACAGGTATCTACCTTGGACAGTGGATGGAAGTTAGATATTAACACCTTTGGATGCCAGGACAGTGATCTGGAGGTTAAGCGTTTGCGTGCAAGACCGAAAGTCCTGAGTTCGAATCCCGCTTACGAGATCGTGGTAGTCCCATACTAGGATGAAATGGCTGTCCAGTGCGTTTAAATGTTTAATGGTGGTCTAACATCAGTCGATTCATGATCTTAATCAAAAGCCTAACAATCTCCACAACCTCATACTGATAATGATTTGTAATTATCACATGAAATATTATTCAACAATAACTAAGATCTCATAATGCTTAATTTAATTACTTAAAACGTATACCCGTTGAAATGAAATTCAAAATTAACACACTTATTCAATAGTTGAGTACATTTAAACAATTCTATAAACAGAAAAGTATCACAATTCACATGGTATTGTCTACTTGAATCTTCCCATTGATGTGTTTTAAGACTGGAATTGTTCAGTCTGTTATTGGCATATGTGCATACTGAGCGTATTGCCTCGATATTGCCTTAATTCACAAGCATTATAAGCAGAGATGGATAATGGCTAGCAGTGGAACACGCGTTTTGTCCTGTCTGCGACTCGCCAGGTGGATGCAAAGGATGCACATATGCCAATAAGAGACTGATCAATTTCAGTCCTAAAAGCATCAATGGGTTGATGCAAGTAAACAATACCAGGGGAATTTGAACTTCACCTGATTGCATACGCAAGTGGTTATCAGAAATCAATAGTTAAGTAGATAACGTATTGGCATTTGAAGCGAACATTACCGGATTCGAGTTGTGGAGTGAACATCAACTCTGAGATTCAGATACATCCAGCTGACGAGTCCCAAATAGAACGAAACTCATGTCTTGCATTCCACTGCTGTTTACCATCCATCTTTGCTTAGAAAAGAATTTAATTCAACTTACTGAAAGTATTCATCGTAGAAGTATTTTAATTTGATTAATTTTGTAGTTCAAGTTGGAATTGAACTGAACTGAAACTAGGCTCAATTATACTGACATCTTAGCAAGATAAAATATTTAATTGTATTCCTCTTTATAATTATGATCTTGTAAATGACCAGTACTTTTCTGAAATCAACAAACGGTCTATTTTGATTATAATATGAAGTTAAATACAATCATCAATAGGCTTAACTACAGTTTAACGGTTGTCCATCGCTTCCAGATTGTCAGTGATGGTCTAACTTAGACTGACTTATGAATTCAACTATTAAAAATTAACTACATCAGCCTCTATCAGTATAGGGGTTGTGGAGATTATTAAGTTTTTAATTCGGATTATGAACCGATAGATGTTAGACCACCATTGAAAACTTGGAAGCAGTAGGCATTAACATGTATCTACCTCAGTACATTAGAAGATGGTCGCGCGATTTCGTGGATCGGTTGAGGTTAGACATTAACACCGTTGGATGCTGGCTCAGTGGTCATATAGGCTAATCGTTCGATTGCGAGACTGAAGACCTTGGGTTTGAATCTCGCGAGTGGCATCGTGGGTGCGCACTGCTGAATAGTCCCTTAATAGGACGAAACGGCCGTCCAATGCTTCCATGTTCTCAGTGGTGGTCTGACATCATTCAGTTCATGATCTCAATTAAGGATATTCGTTTCTATTTGTTTAATTTTTTAAATATACTTAGCCAATGGATGATTGTGGCAATTTCGAATACAACATTTATTTAAAGAATAGTGTACTGTTGTAGTTATTAAACTGAAATTATGAAATCTTAGTTAATTGTGAATATTGTTTGATGCGCAAAATGAGAATTTAGAAGCACAGGACAAATGTTTCGTCTTCAGCAATGCGTATCTACGATCCCACCCTCGGTACTCGAACCCAGGATCTTCAGTTACACGCGAATGCCTGACCTCTAGACCATCGAACCGAAATCCAGCGGTGTTTTGTTCAGTTAAAAACACCTAACTTACAAATGTTCTGTTTCTAATACGTATAAAATAAAAATATATTTTAAGGGAAATGTTGTTTTGGATTAGTGAATTCAGTTTGATACTGTACTGAACAAGAACACGGGTGGGGACAATCGAATGTACTTTAGTACGAAATTACAGAGAATCTCAATAAGATCTGAGAACCATATAGTAAATGCTTAATTCGCAAAATGTCCATCAGTTGTCTAAACATGACTCAGACTTCATTGTTCTTGCATTTTCATACAAATTGCATTCTTTTTCCATTCTTTACTGTTCGATCCTCTTGTCTCTGTGCTGCCAGACATTCTGTTCCTGACAAACGTCATACACTACGTATGTCGATATAAATAGAACACATCACAATACAACTTCTGTTCATCCTCACCATAGTTTAAAACAATATTTCACTGTATTTCTTATTTAATTATTGAACCAACTTAGAAAAACAAAACACACACAGAGACAAAATCGTTTAAAGTTTTAACATAAATCAAGAACTATAATCTAATTGATCTAATGATGACATATACCTTCTGTATACTAAAAGTTTTAGATCCGAGCGTTACCCTAGTCATCAATTCCAAACAAAGTAACAACATTTATTCATATTTCCCGGGTTTTTTTTCTATGAATTTCATCAAAGTAGACAATTACTTACAAATAACAAGTTATCAGAGGGAGTTTTCTGGAGATTTTAGAAATTTCACAGATTGAAATCATGAGTCAGTTGAAGCAAGACCAACATGGAAAACCTGGAAGCACTGGACGGCCGTTTCGTTCTAGTATGGGACTCCTCAGCAGTGCGCATCCAGGATCCCACACCTCTCGGGGTTCGAACTCAGGGCCTATCAGTCTCGTGCGCGAGTGTTTAACCAACTAGACAACTGAGCTAGCCGGCATCCAACGGTGTTAATGTCTAACTTCAACCAATCCACGAAGTTGCACCACCGTACACCACTGTCTTCAGTGAGTGGTTTTCCATGGTGGTCTAGCTTCAATTGACTCATGATTTCAACCAGTGAAATAACAGGTTATTATGTGCTCAACATTATGTTGATAATCGATCATTTCTACTAACCTGTAACTGTTGATGATTATATTGAAAAGCTCGTTTAATTTTTTGTAATACAATAATCTCCAAATCTGAAGATGAAATATATCCAACTAACAATTCTAAATTGTTTAATGCAACAATCTATAATACAAGAATAATAATAATGATAAAAGGTTAGTTATAATTGTAGATACAATTTGTTATTCGTCTTTATCAATGTACATAAATTGGATCAGAAAAAGAAAACTATGACTAAGGATAAATTTCATGTTGTCAAGGTATCTAAGTATATTGTAGTTAGTGATTACAGTTATGCTTTTGATGAATTAGTTACTCAACTGTAGATATATTGAAATAATTAATTGAAGGTATGATTTTTGCTATGTTGTAATACGGCCGACTGCGCTACACTTAACACGTCCGTAGTATGGTGAAGTAGAATTTGTCGTCGTAAAAAATTTGAGATTTTTTTAAATGTACATCAATATAAACAACAGAGAACAACACACACTCTCCAGAATGGATTACAATAATGTAAATAATAATCACTTCTTCATTTTGGTAGGTTGCCAAGTGCTAAGTCAAAATAACAAATGAGACTGGAATTTATCCTTACTCGTTTTCTCTGTAAGACTTATACTCAACTTTCGATTAGATTGATTTATGTTGAATTATATCTACTTAGTTTATGTTAATGATAAAAATTATAATTTTATGAAATTCTAGTGAAAAGCCGTGACCAGTGGAGCTAATCCTTATCGGGTAGAGACAGGTGTCTATCTCCGATACTGGAAAATTGTATTGCAACTTTGTTGACTGATTGAAATTTGCTCATGCTAGATGGTTTTGGTTTCCAGTCCTGCTTGTCGAATTGTAGATGCGCACTTCTTAAGAGTCAGATTATAAGAGACCATTCGATTGAATGTTTATTCATTATAATTTTCACATTTAATAATAAGCGTGTGAACTTGCTATTTCATTAGTCAGGGAAATTCATCTTTCTCCTTAAGTATCTAGTTAATTTATGAAGATCAGAATTTTTCCTACGTATGTTAAGTGTACCTCCAACAGACGAATTCAAGATACACGTTTTTAACTAAGTTTCGACTCGTTAACCAAATTTAGACGACATTTAAGAGTTGATATTCACACAGTCTAATCAAACTCAATAACTCAATAACGTTCTTCTGAGACTGTTCAAACAAATAAAATTCTTAGCTTCAGTTCATCATCTGGGTATTACATCAGTTAGAGTAGATTTGGACAAATCATACATAGGTAATTTTATTATTAGTGTAAGGAGTTTGTCTAGATTGTTGAATTTAATGATTTACATTATAAACAGGGTTTTTTTTAAACAACTGTTTAAAACCAAGAGGTATTAGATAGATATTTCGTTCTATTATGGAAGTCCACAATATTGAACATCACTTATTCCACTAAAGATCAAACTCAGAATATTCAGGTCCTGTGGTAAGTGCGGGATCTCAAAACCACTCAGCTGTATTTAGATAGTTTTGATAGTTAGCCTCGGTCAATTCAAAACATTGTGCAACTGTTTCACGATCGATATATTTGAACTCCACTGTTTAAAACCTACCACTAGAATTTCTGAATTATTTGCTCGAAACAAGCAACTAGGGAGTTCATGAAGATTGTAAGGTCCAACATTAAGTGAGATCATGGATGTATACAACTAAGAAGTGCCATACTAGGAAAGTAAACGTCTCTTAGTTGCTTGTAGTTTTAAATAAATGTCTAACCTAGGTTGATTCGTAACGTCAATAACATTCTTCATTATCAAACCTTTAGAAAAACAAAAGATCTATTCTCACATTGTTTTCAACATTTAATTATTTTGATGCAGTTTTGTTCTCTGAGCTGGATGGTTAGGTTGTTGAGCTTTCATCGTTATTCTGAACGACAACATCAACACAAAGTTTAAGTAGAAGTGAAATGCTCAATTTTTTCTATATATGGTTCATAGCTTATCCTGTAGACCATGATGTTGATTGATTATTGTTGACATTTAACCTGTCATTGTTTACTTCTTTATTTTAGTTGTATTTCCTATTGGTTTGATAGTTGGTCTTATAGTTGTCCATGACCAAACCATGCAGCTCAGAGAACAATAATCCATTAAAATCATCCACCTGAGCTACAAATCTTCTCCACCATCTTAATATTTAATTATCCTTTTAGTGGTTAAACGGTCGCGCGCAGGACTGATAGGTCTTAGGTTTGAATCTCGCGAGGCGGGATCGTGAGTGTACACTCCTGAGGACTCCTACAACGGGATGAAGTAGCTATTCAATGCTTCCAGGTTTTCCATGGTGGTTCAAATTCAATTGATTCATGATCTCAATCAATGAAATTACTATGATCTCCACAAAAACCTTTCTGATATCCTTATATCACTTTATTTAATGGTTTATCCTACCTTCTATCCTTTATCTAATTAAGCTCAACTTTGTATTATTCTATTCGTAGTCTTGGACTGATTACTTACTTTCAAAACATCATATTTCACTTATACTTCATCAGTATATTCAAAGAAACATTAATTAGCAACATAAAGGTAAAGGAATAAAACAACAACAACAAATAAGAATTCACTTCATTTATTCTTTTCAATTATTTTCAAGTTGTTATTTTCAATTAAATTTACTTTCATGCAAACAAATTAACCATTTTGTTTATCTTTAATCATTAATCTATGTATTTGTGTTTTATACACTTCACTGATTATGATTATGGTTATTGTTTTCAGATGTTACAACATAGAACGGACTTATTAGAAGAGGGTTTTATAGAGATTTCAGTAATCTAATAATTTCGTTCATGGGTCAATCAAAGCTAGACCATCATAGATAATTTGGAAGCACTAAACAACCGTTTCGTCCCAGTATGGGACTTCTCAGCGGTGCGCAGTACGAGCGGGATTTTGGATGCACAATGTTGAAGAGTGCCGTATTAGGATGAAATGGCTGTTCAGGGAGAAATAAACTTATTTTGATTATTGTATAATAGAAATATAATGTAAATGAAAATTACCTGAGCTGTAATATTATTTGATACTAAACATTGTTTCATTAATGGTATAATATACTGTTCAATTACATTATCTGGAACTTGTCTTAAAAATGACCGTGTATGACGTACTAAACATATTTTTGTCTAAAATGTAGAAAGCAATACAATAGGAGATTAATACAACAAATTGATACATAGTAAATGTTATATACATAATATAAGCTTTTATGGTAGGGAGGGATTAGAAAACTGTGAAGGATTAAGATTATGCATTTCAACTGATAGCTAGGGTTAGAAACTTTGAAGTTTGTGCTAATTATGTCGTTCAGAAGAATGATGAAATCTCCACAACCGGACTATCCATAGGGTTAGAGACTCCATCCTGTAGAAAACTAACTGGCTAAAAAAAACGCTAAAAACACTGACCCTTCAGTAGTGATCTGAACTCAGTAGCTTAGTGAATAAATGAATAGTATTTGAATTAAAAGTTAACAGATTCAAGTCGTAATAGAAACAATTAACAATGAGATTCTGATGCATTTAGATAATGAATTATAAATAGAATATAACTAGTGTCCAGATATCCACCGCTTCATACATGATATGAACATGGAAAATTTAAAATCCGGATCTCAACTCCAGATCTTCAAAAAAAGGGAAGGCGATCTGATGGAAAGAAAAGTCAATTTTCGATCGATTTACTCATTACGAGTTTTGTTCAACATTACTTCCCTTCTAATTCAATGTGATGATCATTCCGTGTAGTATTTGATTGCTTTCCCAGTATATTTTCTTCTGTATAATATACGATATTCTTGTGTTCAGTTGACATGAACTATGTTCAGTAAGTGATTTGTTATAACTGAGTTTGTGATTTCATCCTAATTAATAATCAAAATGGGTGTACAATCCATATATAAACCAGTGTATTCGAGACTACATTCATTTGTCGTCGTCATAGTGTTTAGGGCTAATAAATCTTCACTTATATCAATCTTGTGTTCTTATTTTCGCATCGTGGGAATTGCCGATGTTCCTCATTCCAAATATAAGTGATCAGTGTTTCCTTTCCGGCACAACAATTGCGACGACCGAATATAACAAAACATTTGTACTTATCACTTTTGATAATTAGTATTATGGAACCATTTAAGTAAATCTGCATTAAAATCAACACAACATTTACCATGACAAATAAAACTTACTTTTAAATTTGAACTTTTATCAAAGATATTTATTAAATCTTTCTCAATATAATCTGTATAATCTATTGAAGAGCAAACTTCAATTAAATGAGCTAAACCAGAAATTAATAATGAATCTAAATGAATACAATTATCTTCATGTGATACTTGTGATACAGAGTAATGAGATGTTATGTATGTTGTATTGTAATCATTGGATTGTTTATTAAATTGTCTTGTTTCTAGTTGTTGATGTAATTCAATCAATGTAGGCATTATTCGACCATAAAGAATAGGCTGTTATAAGGTTAATTCAAGATGAAAAACATCAAGTAGTATATATTAAGCAATCTATTGTATACATCGTTTTTTACATATGACTACTAATAAATATACATTTTGATGAAAGGGTTTTTTTAACCTTTGACTGTCTATGATCAGAAATAATTATCAGAATGGAATATATAGAACCTTGAATAAACTGAGAAGCTGATTGGAAGTAATCGACATGAAACTCTGAACCTAGGTCTTATACTATTTGGCACTCGTCAGCAAGGTGCACCAGTAATGTCATCAAGGGAACAGATGTACCCTAACAGATCCAATCCCGTGTCATCTAGCTTCACGATTAGGGATGCGATTGATCTCTTTTATGACTGATATATATTTACAATAAACTTATTATTGGGTAATGACCAATGTCATCAATATTAAATGATATTATATAATATATAATAGTATGGATATTTTCTAATCTAAAACAAAATAACATAAGTATTAGAAAGTATAACTCATTGAGTTCATAATTCTCCCCAATTACATATTAATTCTCTTATTTACAACCTTTGTAACTACAACATTCTCTTCAAATTATCAACTACCATGAATTGATCACTTTCTTATTTTCCATACCCAACAACGACTAATTTTCACGTATAATTTTATCTGAGAATCGTTAGCTGAATATATCTTAGTATTATTGTTAATGATTTGACTGAGATTTGAACAAGAGCCAGATGCTATAAACGTTATTATGCTATTACGTAGGATATTGAGTCCCAGATGTATTACACTATTAGTTCAAAACTATACTTACTTACTTACTTACTTACTTACTTACTTACTTACTTACTTACTTACCTACTTACTTACTTACGCCTGTTACTCCGCGTGAAGGAATATAGGCCGCTCACCAGCATTCTCCATCCAACCTGTCCTCAGCAATCCTTTCCAGGTTCTTCCAGTTGTTATTCATCCTTTTCATATCTGCTTCTATTTCTCGATGTAATGTGTTCTTTGACCTTCATCTTTTCCACTTCCCTTCACGATTCCAAGTTAACGATTGCCTCGTGATGCAGTTTGATGATTTCCGTGATGTATGTCTAAACCACTCCCATCGTCTTTTCCCAATTTCTTTTTTAGCCGGAAGCTGGTTTGTTCTCTGCCACAGTAGGCTGTTACTGATGGTATCCGACCAATGGATGTTTAATATCTTGCGTAGACGGCTATTTATAAATACGTGTACCTTCTTGACAGTGGTTGTAGTTGTCCTCCAAGTTTTAACTCCGTACAGCAGGACTGTGTTGACGTTTATATTGAAGATTTTGACTTTGATATTGGTTGAGAGTTGTTTTGAGTTCCATATGTTCCTCAATTGTAGGAATGCTATCCTTCCTTTCCCAGTCCTTGCCTTTACGTCTGCATCTGAGCCTCCTTGTTCATCGATGATGCTTCCCAGGTACGTGAAGGATTCTACATCTTCTACAGTTTCGCCATTGGTAGTGATTGGATTGCTGTTCTCCGTGTTGCATTTGGGGCTCTTGGTTTACTTCCTTGTGCATTTTGAGACCTACTGATGCAGATACTTTTGCTACACTGACTGTCTTTATCTGCATTTAGTTCAAAACTATACTATACTGTAATATAGATACTGATAAAACTTAATCCTTTATGTTAAACACTATAATCAATCATAATATAAACTCTATTAAAAGTAAATTAATTCAACAATAGATTATTGAAACAATCGGCAAGACTATAATTTATGAACGAACCAATTACGTATAAGATGGCAGGTATCGGATTTTGACACGATATTCATTCATCCATTTGGATAAATAGAAACTTAGCATTATAGTTGATGTCAATTCGTGATGAATAACCGAAATCGAATTCTTAAGTTTAATCATCAACTGTAAATTATAATTGTAATTTCTCACACAAGCTCATAAACCATATTTAGTCCTGAATGTTAAATGGACACTTTCAAAGTCAGTCTAACGTTACTCAAACGTCGTCCATAAATAATAGTCTCATTAAACACTATTTACTAAACATACTTTTGATAAATTTTCTGCATTATTTTGTAAAATTTGTAATGCTCTTGTTCTATCTTCATCAGATTTCACATCGAAATTAATAATTCCATCTAATAGTAACATTGTAGGATCGTTGAAAAATTTCAGCTAGAAATGAATAATAAAATTGATAATAATTATATTGGAATTGTTTAAAAGAAAATATTTGTTCTTTTATTTTACTTTTGTTAACTTATGATTAGTTGAAAGATATCCGCTGGAACAATCCAAGTCGGGTAGAGACAGGTATCTACCTCAGTACAACGTAAGTTGGTCGCGCAATTTTGTGGATTGATTGAGGTTAGACACTATCACCATTGGATGCCGTCCAGCTCAGTGGTCCAGTTGGTTAAGCGTTCGTGCTCGAGACCGAAAGCCCCTGGGTTCGAATCCCGCGAGCGGGATCGTGGGTGCGCACTGCTGAGGAGTCCCGCAATAGGACGAAACGGCCGTCCAGTGCTTCCAGGTTTTCGATGGTGGTCTAACGTCAATCAGTTCATGATCTCAATCAAAAATCTTTAAAGAATAAGGATACAATAGGTAGATACTTTGTAAAGATTCAATGAGTAGAACTCGTCACTATACATCAACTTCATTGACTATGAAAAAATGTTTGACAGTGTGGACAGTAGAACATTATAGAAAGTTCTTAGACACTATGGAGATCATACGACGGACTAAAGTGCAAAGCCATGCATGGAGGACAGCTGACAGATGCATTCTAAGTAAGGATCGGTATCAGACAAGGCTGTCGACTCTACGCTTCCTTTTTCTTCTAGTGGTTGACTGAATTATGAAGACCTCGACATCTGAGGAAAGCACAGAAAACAATGAACAGCTCAGAACCAAACTGAAGATTTGAACTTCACAGATGATCTAGTCCTACTATTCCATACACACGAACTAATGTAGATGATAACAACTAGTGTAGTAGCAGTCTCTGCATCAGTAGGTCTCAAAATGCACAAGGAAGTAAACCAAGAGCCCCAAATGCAACACGGAGAACAGCAATCCAATCACTACCAATGGCGAAACTGTAGAAGATGTAGAATCCTTCACGTACCTGGGAAGCATCATCGATGAACAAGGAGGCTCAGATGCAGACGTAAAGGCAAGGACTGGGAAAGGAAGGATAGCATTCCTACAATTGAGGAACATATGGAACTCAAAACAACTCTCAACCAATATCAAAGTCAAAATCTTCAATATAAACGTCAACACAGTCCTGCTGTACGGAGTTAAAACTTGGAGGACAACTACAACCACTGTCAAGAAGGTACACGTATTTATAAATAGCCGTCTACGCAAGATATTAAACATCCATTGGTCGGATACCATCAGTAACAGCCTACTGTGGCAGAGAACAAACCAGCTTCCGGCTAAAAAAGAAATTGGGAAAAGACGATGGGAGTGGTTTAGACATACATCACGGAAATCATCAAACTGCATCACGAGGCAATCGTTAACTTGGAATCGTGAAGGGAAGTGGAAAAGATGAAGGTCAAAGAACACATTACATCGAGAAATAGAAGCAGATATGAGAAAGATGAACAACAATTGGATAGAATTAAAAAGGAAGGCCCGGGGACAGGGTTGGATTTAGAGTGCTATTGGGTGGCCTATGCTACATTGGGTGTAAGAGACGTAAGTAAGTAGGTAAGTAAGTGATAGTCTGATATTATATACATCTGTAGCCATATGAGCTTTTAAACCTAAATTGTATAGAATAATACAATGTACTAAGAATAACTTTCTGCTATTCTGATAAGTATGTGTTGAACCAGTGAACGATATTGTGTAACCGCTTGTTCACTTATCATGTACAGTAGATAAACTAATGAATGTACAATTAGTCAACTAAAAGAAACATTCAATACATTGAATTATACAATGATTTCACTGGTCTGGCAGCAGATATATTTTCTTGATAGAAATTTTTATCGAAATAGAAGAAACACCTTAAATCCACTTAATATTGTGTGTACTTAATGGTACCATATAGGATACTGATTTATGAAATCAAACTTTGAATATGTTCATTGTATCGAATGATGTTTTATCCTTATACTTTACCATTGTTCTCCATTGTACTTGATATGTCCAGTAAACAAATTAACTATGATTGTAAATACGTTGACAATAATCCCTTTGAAATACTCATTTATAATAAAGCACTAGTTTGATCTCTATTTCTATGGTTTAAGATAAACACAAATATTTTATTGGTTCAGAGAACAGTAATTAAGTTGATTCCCGGAATAGCGAAGCTCATGTGTGATACACGACTGGCCAAGCTAAAGCTTTCCCGTTATCATATCGAAGAACTAGAGGTAACAAATTTGCACTTGATATGTCCTCATTTTTCTTGTCTTCCAAAACAGGGAATTTACGAGGACACTCCAAAAAAAGCTCACAAGCCCAATATAAATTAGTTGTCAGCTGGCTATCGACTTTCCCATTGAATCATTAACGACTGAAGTTCATTACCTCAGCACGTAGTTGAGGCTCCATCTCTCGATTCTTTCAAAAGAAAGTTGGATTAACTGTGAGACCATCATTGTCAGGACTAATACAGGCCATCAAGCCTGCTGACCTTTCCGAACTGAAACTGAAGAAATCAAACTTTTCAATTGTACATTTTACTATTATCAGATGCTTAAACGATGTTTGCTAAATTCACTTCAGTCACTGAAGCACTAAATCGATTATAGGAAACAATATATGATCATACTCATTTGATGTTCTGATTATTATCGAAGTCTGGCAATCATCTTGTTTTTACATCATTCCTGCCGACTACAAGTCGATGTATCTGAAAGATGTTTTTGCCAATGTATGATCTCCACAAACAATAATCAATAATTATTGAATATCTAATCTTCATTATGGAAGTAATTAAAATCAAATAATTATGACCAAAAAATATTCTTTGAAGCAAATAACTCTTAACAATATCGAATGAAATAATATTCATCTTTATCATCAGTTGAATACCGGTGAAATGATCGACCAAATATTGTCTACAGAATTAGTCAAGTGCAACAATATCTTTTTATATGTGTCATAATCATATGAAAATTTCAGCCTTCTTGTTACTATTCAGATTTTATTTGCTTTTCATCTTTAGTAATTTTATTATCTTTCATGAAGTTTTCATTATATCGATTATCCTATAACCTTCTTTGAACAAAATAATCGTTGAGTACGGCAGAAAACTGGATGACTGCATCATTCCATTATGAGATATGTTAATAATAATTGTGATGAAATCTAAAACACTCCAACCTTAATGTGAAGACCATACACTTAAATCATCAGGTTGAAGTTCATTTATTTAGGACAAAGAGGAATTATATAATAAGCAAAGGTGGATAATGGCTAGCAATGGAATCCAGGACGTGCGTTTCGACCTATTTGTTACTCGTCTGCTGGATGTACCTGTATATCAGAGTTGATGTTGACAAAAGGCGCCTCCTGGATTCCGATGCTAGCCACTATCCATCTTTGTTTAAAAAGCTTGTGATTTAAAGCTACATTAAGGCAATCCGCACAGGATGCACATATGCCAACATGAGACTGATCAATTGCAGTCGTAAATAACATTTGGAATATACAAGTAAAACAACACCAAGTGAATTACATAATAGTAGAAAATGTCCATTTTAAAAAAGAAACATACTAAAGCAAATAATTGAGAACTAGGTCTCTTTTGTGAATTCCTTGATAGTAATTTTTCCACAGGTTCAACTAATTCTAAAGGCATACGACATACTGACAATCGAAATGCTTCAGGTATCTATTAAAATAAATAAAATCACGCTTATATAAAGAATAAGCAAATATGTTAAATTATTCTGTATTAATATATATTAAATGACAATAGAAATAGTCTTATGATAGAATGTGCACTGCCGAAAAGTGCCATACTGGGACGAAACAGTCATCCAATGCTTCCAGGTTTTCCATGATGTTCAAGTTTCAATTTAACTTATGAATTCAATTATAGAATAGTTATTTATCAACTGGATAAATTGAGATTATTATGATTGATAAGCGCGTAATTTCTAATATAATCATGTGTATAATATAACATGTGATAATGAATAATTAATTTTCCTTATGTTATTTTAATATCACATGTAATAGGAAAGTACGTAGATATTTCTGGACAATTGTTACCATGGCAATAAAATAACAATAATTCCCTGATGATACAATGTAAGCTGTCAAACAACAACAACAAAAGCAGAAGACATTATACTTTATTGTTAAACTTCAGAAACCTTATATATGACTTGGAAATGCTCTTGACTCCTAATACTTAATGAGTACACACTTGAGCATAATGAACAATGTGTCATTGAATTCATAACGAAATTTATTAAATGTATATTCTGGTTTTATATAGCTTGTGAATATTTCAAAGTTAGATATTGACACCGTTGGATGCCGACCAGTTCAGTGGTCTAGTGGTTAAGCGCTCGCGCGCAAGACTGATAGGTCTTTGTTGGGGTGATCCAGAAAATTGCTTGCAAAAGAAAAGCAAGCATCAGAAAATACTAAGAAGCGTTTCATCCAATCAGCATTCAATTGAAGTCTTAGCCAAAAATATCAAGGAGGCGAAACGTCACATGCAGAGGCTCTGATTGACTGGCTGCTACACTGCTACTATGTTTAGTAGCATTCCAGAATCTTCTAGCAACCCAAAGACATTTAAAATATTATAAAAACCCTGTATTTTCTGTATTAAAATGAACCTTGGAGTAAACTACTTCTCGCATGGTTTGCGTCTTCTCTCTCGTGTTCAGGTCACTGTATAGTTCTAGCTTGGGAGTTACAGAATAGCTTAGGAGACGAATATAGCGTTCAGTCTCCCAAGACTTATCTGTCTTGGGTTTGAATCTCGCAAGGCGGGATCGTGGTTGCTGACTGTTAAGGAGTCATACAATAAGACGAAACGGTCATATAGTGCTTCCAGGTATTTTATGGTTGTCTAACTTCAATTGACTCATTAATTCAACTATTAAAAGAAATTATTATTAAAATCAATTAGTTTACCATAAAATCTTACATTTGTACTTTGACTTAATTGAATTGCATGAAGATATTCTGTACTAGTTTCTTGTATATTATTTTCTTTACAATTTACAAATGATATCTCTGTATTTGTATATGAATCATTATCAAATCCACGTTTTTTTATATTTTGTAACCATTGAACTGATCCTTCAGCTGGACTATTATTTGTATATAATGCACAAATAATTAAACCTAATGAAAACATATCTGACCATGGTCCAGGTATATCATGAGATAAATTAGATCGAGATTTCATTGTTGATGTTACTGTTGTTGTTTCTATTGTATGATCTGGACTATTTCTATTAGTTACATGATATAAATCTGTAGATGTTTTAGTAAGAAATCCAGCAAATGAACTTGATATATTATTATTATTATTTGTTAGATTTAAACATTCTGGTGCTGAATAATGATAATCTGGTCTAGCCATTTTTGGCCATTTTCTTGTCCATGGTGACGGACCTAATTCATACTTTGTTAAATAGGAAAAAAGAAAGAAAGAAGAACGAAAATATAAAAACAACATCGTATAGTCAAACGAAGTTGTCTGATAGCAAAGAAAATTAGATTTCTATATTATTAAAGCATCATATTATCACTGACTAAATTCACTTTTGATCAACGTTATAACAGCTTTCTATTTTAATCTAAACACTGATTGATTTTTAGAAAGGCAACTTATGATTTTCAATTAAAACTATCTCCATTGGCTTTATATCACAACGCAAGTGATATGAAGCCAATAAGAATAGTGTCTGAATTACACTTCGATCAATAATAAGCATTAGATAAGTTTTCCATTGCTTACTACTCAATGGTAAGTCAATATAAATGTAACGGGTTATATTTGATATAAGATAGCTATAAACTATCAATGAAGACTATGATCTAGTCAGTGAATCAACTCTATAATTTTGACAAAGTTAATGTTCTACATGAGATCGGTACTAGTAATCAATATAAATCTCACAAGTAACTAATTTTTTCTGCAACTGAGCTACTATCATTAAATGTAAACAAATGTAGTGCATATCTGGTGTTTAGTTCTGATTAAATTCTAATGATCTAATTTACGTGAAGACGATTATGGATGTGTTTGTGTATTTTTCGACTAGTCTCCATAACTGAATAGCAACATCATCAAGAACTTATAATAAAAAGCTTGATTCGATGGCGTTTGAAGCGAACGGGACTGGGTTGAAGTTCCGGAGTGAATATTAACTCTGGGATTCAGTTACATCCAGATGACGACTCCCGAATAGGACGAATCACGCGTCCTGGATCCAACTGCTAGCCAATATGTATCTCTGCTTATAATTACAGTTGTTGTTTTACATTTCTAAGGTTCTTTGTAAGATACAGGAATAAGATCATTTGTCTGATGGATCAAGCTTTCAAACTGAATTTTTGTATTGATCTCATTAACATTTGTAGAAGCCTAACAGAATCTTAGACTGAACAATAGTGCTTGTAATTGCACTGTTGATGAAGTAATAATAGATTAACTAAAAAGACGTATTTTTTCAAGCCAATATGGAATGGTCAATACACAAATATTTAAAGTCAGATCTCACTGAAGTAAAAAATAAGCCTAATTCGTTTTCCCTATTCCAAAGCTAGACGCTTTTACAACAAATATATAATCAATACCAAACTTGATAAACTATGAAAGACACTGACCAACAATCTAGACCACCATGGAGAACCTGAAAACACTGAACGGATGTTTCGTCCTATTTTGGGATTCGTCAGTAATCGTGAGCTCGAATCTCGCGAGGCACGATCATAGATGTACACTGTTGAGGAGTTCCATACTAAAATGAAACGATCGTCCAGTGCTTCCAGATTTTCCATGGTTGTCTAGCTTCAACGATCGAAATCACCATAATATCTACGACAAAAAAACCCTTCTGATATGAACTAAACATTATTTAATATTATTCAATTATTTTCTTATTATTAGAAAGGAACCAAATATTACAATCTAGTAATCCAGTAAACTAATTAACTTTATAGCAATTAAACATCGTTTTATTTTCTATTCGTCCTAATATGAATTCATGTCAATCATCGAACATAAAATGAAACCATTTATGATTGTTACAGTTTTCATCAAGAATGAATTCATTTCCATTAAAAGCATTTCCAAACATTTCAATCTCCCTCTCTCTCTCTCTCTCCTTCTCGCTCTTCAATGAATATATCATCGAATAATGAATGTTTAGATATGACCGATCATAGAAAATATTTCAATGATAAATTAAACTTTATATTTTTGTTTTTTCTAAATGTTTAATATAAAATTGGCTTAACGACAACAACAACAAGAACAAAGAAGAAACAAGAGGAAAACTTGATATGTCAATAATCTAATCTAATTGATTGAGTAGAAATATGAAAAAAAAAAAAAAGGAAACTTTTGACCTTGAACTTTTGATTCTCTTTTTTTTCATTTTTTAAAATGTTTTTCTTTCTTTTTGAAATAAACTTTTTTTTCTCAAAAAAAACTTTAAAGGTTATATTTGATGCAAAATAAAATTAACTAATTAACTTATAAGGTTAGAATAGAACTAATGATGGAGTATAGTTTTTAATAAACATGAAATTTTAAAAAAAATAGGAAAAATAATCAGAAAAAATAAACATGTAAACTGATGTGAATAGAGAAACAAGGAACTTGGCAAACTAAGGAAGCTAGTTTTCGGGACGTTATTTCATTTCGTTCAAAGCTTGTAAAACAATAACATTTATTTTTGTCCCTAGTCTATTCTACAGATCATAAGCTTTCGTTTGATGTATGATTCACTGTCATAGCCCTTTTTGTTTCAAAGCTATGGTATATTTTGTACTCTATTTTCTATGCTAATCTCCAGTTTTGGACATAATTGTATTTTCCTAATTATTGTACGTTATGATCTGATTAGTCATCTATTTATTCATATATCTTTTTACACTGATGTGGAAGTCGGGAACCAGATCGAAATTGAGAATAAATCATGTGGTGTTCCAGTTGACTTGTCTTCTCTCACTCGCATACTTGTCAGCTAGTCAGGTGATAGAATAGTTTTCGTCGCTCTCACTTAGAATTAACGCATACTGGCCTTAAGGTTAAGCCCTGTCAGCCTATCGTATCAAGGTCTTAATCTAGATTAGACAAGTTATCCTCAGCACCAAAGTGAGTAGGCAGATCAAGGACATAACATAAAGAAATGAATATTAGCTCACTAATTTGAAGATTAAATGCTTATAGTAACGTCTATGATGATGGTATGATGATATGATCTGTGACAATATCATGATTGAAATGATACACCTAAAGATCTCATACTGATTCAAAATATCCGTATAGGCTTTCATGGTGAAGACATTCATTTTAGTGAACACCTCTGATTCAGTAAGCATCAACATTCATTAAGGTAAAATGAGATCATAAGATACAACATAGAGAGTGCAAATTAGGTCACTTCATGGAGAAGCTCGTACCTGGACAGGATTACCGATAAATAAGCGGTACCTGATACAGATGTGGAAGGACGGATTGGTAAATTAAGGGCAACATTCCTAAAATCAGGGAACATCTTAAACTCAAAACAAATATCAGTCAACATCAAAGTTAGAATTTTCAATACAAACGTGGATAAAGTTTTATTGTAGGAGGCTGAAACTTGGAGAACTATTAAACCCTTGTAAACACGTTCCAAGTATGTATAAACACCTGTTTTTTCAAGATACTCCAGATCGGTTGATTAGGCATTATCATCCACACTTCATTGTGTCCGTAGAGAAAGCGGCTTTCAGATGAACAGGAGTTAAGAAAACTACATTGGAGGTGTATGGGACATAAATCGTGAAAAGAACACATTGGTCAGAGAACTAGAGACATACATCAAGAGAATGAATGGCACACTTGTCAACATCTGTAAACGAGAGCTCAGGACATCGTATGTTGGAGATCGCTGTTTGGTGGATTATTGTTCACAGGGGTTACAGGCATAATTAATTTAATACTCTACAGTAATTTACACACAAATGATGCACCTGTAGTAAACTCATTCCCTTACTGTATTATTTATCTGTTCACTGCAATTTAGACACTTGGTCCACCATGTAATTTTCTCTGTGATTCTGATTGAGCACGTGTCAATTTTTAATCTATTCTCCCATTGGTTGTAATACACACACAATCAATAATTTACCCATACTTGATTAACACTCACAAATATATAGGGATTTTTAACACTCACACACACACTCTTGTTTTCCCTGTGTGCTATCTGTAGAAGTGGTGTTCAGGAATTTGAATAATCTCGAGTAAATCCATAATTCTATTGGGAGATTTAGCCAGCGTTAAATACTCAGTTAACAGGATATCATTTATTGGAGTCAGATGTAGAGGATACTTGCCTCTACAACCTAACTTGTTATTCTAGGCTTATTCTTACTAAATAACCTTAATCATTTAAAATTATAATTGACATCATATGTTCATGATAACTCCTTGTGGTGTCAACCCTAACTCAAAATAATATCCCAGTTACTTGCACATAAACTTAATTGTTTTCCATTAGTACAAAGAATAATTTAGGATATGAGAGTTAACAATTTAGAACAAAGTTGTTATTTAGCTACATTTTATTGTTAATTATTCTGTAGCAAATCATCGTTTCCCCTCACATGGAATCCTCAATGCCAAATGAAACAAGGAAGACCAAAGAACACATTACGCCGGAAATGGAAATAGACATGAGAAAAATGAACAAGAATTGGATGGAACTAGAAAAGAACGCCCAGGACAGAGTGGGTTGGAGAATGCTGATCGGCGGCCTATGCTCTATTAGGAGTAACAGGCGTAAGTAAGTCATTGACTGATAAATCATTCAAGAAAGTAAGTTTATTGTACTTTTAACCAATAAAACTCAGTAAAACAAACATTCTTACTTGAGATATATCATGTTTTTTCTAGACGGGTAGATTCTATGAAAGCAGCTGATCCAAGTCGCCATTGATTTCGATGTGTTATTAAAATTGAACATGGTGAAACATTATTATGAAACAATGATTGACCAGTGTGTAGAAATCGTAATAACTCATTTAACTATAGAATATAGATAGAAACAAGATGATATGTAAGTCATCTCAAGGATAATTAATCAACAACATAAATATAGCCTAGAACCAAGTGCTTGGAATAGTTTCTGATCAAATTTTTCGTAGTTTCAATAGAAATCGTTAGGCTAAATTTCAACATGTTTAACTAATTATTCAAAATCTTGAAGTTGAAATTTTCGAAATACTATGTATTTGTACATATGTTATGTGATAGATCTTATGATTTTGTGCGCGTAATACGCTTCTCGTTGTTCGAAAATGGGAGAATTTTGCCGAAAGGCAGGCTTCCACTCGAGAACAACTATATTTTCTCCATGAATGTCTTCGCCAGCATGTTCTACCAACAAGTTTAAGATATAGACCTCCAATCAACTACCCATTAGGATGGAAAAAAGCTAAGCAAAGTAGAAGAAAAATGGTACAGTCATGATAACGGATACATCCCCTCGATTCTACGCAGACCCAAAATACACAAACCAAACATTCCACTACGTCCAGTTGTAGCACTCCCCCAAAACATCAACACACAATTTGTCAAAAGAAATTTCACGAATACTGAAACATTTAGTAGATTCATCTAACTACTCCATCAAATCCCCCACACGATTCCTGGGCCGAATTAAGGACATTCAAATCAACAACGACGATCTGATGATATCCTTCATGATAGATCTTACTCATTGTACAGTGACTAATTTATCATTATAATTGAAAGCAGCTTGAAAAACAATTATATCACAAATTTCATAATGATAACTTGGTAAACAACTATTAAGATCAGTCAGCTAATCCTACCAAGATAATCATGAAACACCATCAAATACTGAAGATCTATTTCATATTAGTATACAAATCCTTAGAAATGTGCACCTTCAAGTTCATCAAGGATATGTCTCACTATCTACATACTTTGTGATCAATACTTTACTACTTAACATACATCATCTGCAATATCTTTTTTAATTCATACTAAGAGGATCCTTTTGTTTAGTTTTCTCAGATATTCAATCCTAATGTCAATTAGACTACAAAGTAAACATTCTACATATGACTCAAAACAAATCATCATGTATCTTCTTCTCATAAAGAGATAAAAATAATCAATATTTACGGTGTCACATTGTTCTATATTGTACAGTTAACTAATCTGCATAGTTTGTGGGATTTATGTTAAAATTTCAAAACTCTGACTTAAAACAAATTAACGGCTAGTTGGACATTTAAAATTCTCGCATAACAGTTGACAGTTCTCAGTAGTTTTGAGAAATAAAGTTTGTCAGTAATGTGAAAAGTCTTCATATAGACACCAAAATTGAATACTATTTTATGCAAATAAAATTGGCTAATTTTCTTAAGGATCTAAAGAAAAAAGGAACAATTACGACTAAGATTCATGATTAAATTAAGTCGACTGGATCATTTACACCACGACTGTATGGTTTGTCTAAAGTTCATAAACCGGGTCTTCCTCTACGTCCAGTTCTAGATATGTACAATTCTCCTTGCCACAAAATTGCAAAGTGGCTAGTGCGAATCTTAGAGCCTTTGCACAAATCAGTTGTTAGAAATAGTGTAAAAGAGGTCTTCGACTTCACCTCCAAAGTGGAAAATATTAATGTTATTATGAAAAATAAAATATAGTTAGTCTGTACGTGTTCCAATTTTTTGATGATTGAGTGATTAATAGCTATCTATCTGTTTCTGTTCCCTTCCATTTATCCTGAGCAGCTGACCATATAGTCATAAGTTTTTATGAAATCGCGATAGATACTACCATCTGAATTCACTAGGCTCATGTCATCAGATTTCAAATCGGTCAGTTTCATGAACATAGATCCAAATGTTGATGTTATCACCGAAACTTGAACCCAATATCCTTAACTACACATAATGTTGTTAATTCTATATAGTTACTAGCTTTTGGCACATATTTGATTCTCCGTATAAATGTCAACATTAGGATCATGGTATATCTAGCTTATAAGTTATAAATAAAGCAAAATGGTCGTCCCGTATTTTATTGTTACCACTTATCTAATTTTGATTATGAATTGGATTTTGTAAGACTATTTATATTCAAAGAATAAATATAAAAAAACTCGGAACATTCCTACAATGCTTAATCATTCAAAATCTTTTCTGTGAAATATGTTTTTGTGCTTAAACACATCAATTTTAAGCATAACAATCATAAATAGTGACAAATGATATGGACTATTTAAACTTTATTGAAAATGCTCCGATTTCGAATATTTATCTGTAGTTTAGAGAAAAGCACCATAGCTTTAAAATTTTTCGTCTTTCGTAGTTATTTGTGATTTGTTCATCCTATTTGAAATTCCTTGGTCAGAGTGTACTTCTAATCTATAGGGGAATGATGCTCCTTGCTGGATTCGATACCGTAACAGCCTTCTTCATAATCAGAGACTATCTGAACCGTGACTGACCTACTATAGCATATAGTTCACGCGATGACATGTTACTTAGTCCTGTAGCCATGCTGCAACTTGATCGATAGAATTCAATCTTCGCTAAAAAGTACTCAACACACGTGATCAATCAATTATTTAAAAAAAAAACATCTCAATGATAGCTTCTCTGATTGTGAAAAAAGCTGTAGTAGGAACAAATCCACCAAGGAGCAGTAATTTCTTCAAGATCACAAGTACACCATGTTGACGAATTCCAAACAGACTGAAATCCAAATCCTGAGTTGCTCGTTGACTACCTTCAACGACCACCATACAAAAACGTTTATTTGCAAGCTCATCATAAACATACTGAGCAATATGCACAAGTTCTTCTCAATGTATATATATCACATGATGATGATAATGGATGAAAGTCATCTAATTCCGCATAAAAAAAAACTGTAAAAAAAGATTGTTGTTTTTCTCTATTCTGATTATCATCATGTGCATGTGAGTACCTTTCCTAAAATAATTTGTGTAATTACTTAATCAAAATAAGTAGTAAATATGAAAATTAATTTCATTCTTTGTATCATTGAAAACTGCATAGTGTAGTGAATGAAGTAGATAGCTGAAATAGTTAGATAACATTCTATGAGAAATATATATATATATATATATATATATATATATATATATATATACTTACATTACACTCACATATATTAACATCTAAGCGTATATCACTTACTTGATAAATTCCAAGTTTTCTATCCATATCAGTAAATCTAAATGTCTGTTTGTTTTTATGTTTTCATAAAAAGAGAGAATAAAATACAATAAACATGTATGAAAATTTTCGATGATTTGTTTTAAATCAATCAAAATGTATTATGTATTCCTTGTCGAACAAGTTTGTGATTATGCCTACTCAAAGGATTTGTGAACAACGTAATAATGTTTGATTGATATCAGACTATCATAGAAAACCTGGAAGTCCTAGTATAAGACTCCCCAGCTGTACGCATTCATGATCCCGCTAGCCTAATTCGTAAGGGAGTTCTCAGAGTTCTAGTTTGAAGCGGAGCTAATCTATATCAGGAAAAGACAGGTATATACCTCAGTACAATGAAAGATGGTCGCGCCATTTCGTGGATTGATTGAGGTTAGACAGTTGGATGCCATCTCAATGGTCTAGAGGTTAAGCGTTCGCGCACGAGATCGATAAGTCCTGGCCTCGAGTTTAGCTTATAAGATCAAGGATACGCACTGCTAAGGAGTCCCGTACTAATACGTAACGACTGTCCAGTATTCAATGTTGGTTTAACATCAATCGGTTCATGATCTCAATTTTTAAAAAAGAAGTTGGTAATTAGAGTTCTATACTTTGTATTTTTTCATTCAAAAATCTCCTTATTAGTGCATCAACACTGTATAGTATCGGTTTGAAAGAAAATACCTATACTCGTTTTAAAAAAAAGACAGATTAATTACTTTAAGACTTTGTATAACGAATTGTTGTAGCCTGGTATGATTGCCCAGTATATTGGCCAAACTGGTAAATACACGTTCACTTGCAAATGATAATGTTTCACTGTTTATTACAACAATAAAAAAGAGAGATTTATCATGAGATTAGCAAAGAGTTGTAACAGCAAAAACGATGTAAAAGAAAAATACATTGGTGATATTATTATTTAGATAAGAATCGAATAAGGAAAATGTGGCGAGACCATAATTTATGGATGAACCAATCAGGTATGAAATAAGAGGTTTCGGATTTTGGCGCGAAATTCACTCATCTAATTTTTAATTTTAACCATCAACTGTAAATCATAATTCCAACTCCTCATATTGGTTTATAACCCTTATTCGTTCCTCGTTATTAAGTGGACACTCTCAAAGTCCCTTTAGTATCACTCAACATAGTTATAGTTATATAATATACCCTTGTGGGTCAGAGTAATTTTACATTGGTTTTCAGGAGAACCAAACGACATCCAAACTTTCATGTGACAACCCAAACAGTACAGCTCAATCACGTTTAACAGGAGAGCCAGACACTGCTCAGGCCTAAATTTTATAACCCGAACAGTACAGCTCAATCCCGTTTCACAGGAGAACCAGACACCGTATAGGCTTTAAAGCTACAATCTGAACAGTACAGCTCAATCCTGTGGCGCAACTACACAGGTACTAAGCACTCTCGTGGACAATTAGCATCATTCATATACACATTCACGTCATATTTATAATTATTCCGATCAATGATCACGTGAATCAACTACACACAGCACGAACAGGTCAAAGTTGACCTATTCCGCTTACACGACCATCAAACTCACTAATGATACTAATGTCGACATGCTTACAATGTCCCAATGACAATGTCCCTCGAGAACACTGAAAAGCAACCACCAGTATGAATGAAATCGGTTAACCAGCAAATCAATTTTGTGCATGAACAGTCAGCAAAACTTGCCAAAGCAATGCCGAACCATCCACAATACCAATGGCGAACCTCCAATCTCATATGAGACCTTCAGCTCTATATACTACCCCTAACTCTAGGTCTGAAAAGTCGAAAAAATGAAAATTCCGCAAATGCGATAAAAATGATCTTGGTGGTCTATTAATAGTATTTCGACATCAGACAATCGGTTTTAAGCAATATTTAAGCCCTAACGCTTCAAGCTGGGCTATTTCGCTTACTACCCTACATATGTGTTGTATGTAATATAAGCTATATATTGTCGGTCAACGATGATCCATAAATTATAATCTCGCCGAAAAGGTTCGTCGATACATAAAGTCAGATTTTAATGATACCAGTTTGTTTAATATTCAAACGATTTCTGACTTATCTAGTCACTAGCAAATGTAGTTTCAATCAGCTATCCTTATTTTTTTTGTATAATAATTTGAGATTATTAATAAAAGTCAATATTATAGTAAACAATCCGTTAAATTATACTGAATTTGTATAGTAAGTACACAAGGAAAACATTATTCGATATCAGGTGAATCTTTTCTACTTCTTCAGTTGTTAACAGTCTACACATATAATTGCTGGGTTTTTCAAGGCTTTTTTAAACAAGTATATGTGTGTGTGTAAATCAACGACTGAATTAAACCAAACCAAAATCGTCGGCAACAGTTACAATGATTAACTTTAAATGGTAGTGAACAGGACCTACACAAAATATGGTCATAGTGAAAACTGATAAATAACACCGTTGGATGCCGGCCAGCTCAGTGGCCTAATGGTTAAATACTCGCGCGCGAGACTGACAGGTCCTGGGTTCGGATCTCGCGGGGTGGATGCGCACTGCTGAGGAGTCCCATACTATGACGAAACGGCCTTCCAGTGCTTCCAGGTTTTCCATGGTGGTCTAGCTTTAATTGACTCATGATTTCAATCTGTGAAATTTCTAAAATCTCCACAAACCCCTTCTGAAAATATGTTGTTTGTATGCCAATGTCATAAGCTGATTATATGTTTTACATTTTAATATAATGCTTCAATGTAATTAAAACATGGGAGAATACCAATAAACTATTGTATTTCGTAAAAGCCGAAGTTAGTCGTCGATGTTCCATCGATTTGATCAATGTGAAATACAAACAAAATAAAGAAGTAAACAATGACGGGTTTAAGGTCAACAATAACCAATCAATATCGAGGTCTACAGAACCATCTGTAGAGAAATTCGAACACTTCACTTCTATTTGAAGTTTATGTTGATGAAAGCTTCACGACCAAACCATCGAACTCTGAGAATAAAACATCATTACAACCATCCACCTAAACAACAAATCTCCACTATCTCAAAATATGTTATCTACTGTAGCATTACTGTTTAAATGTTCCATTGTTTAACGTCATACTAAGTTGCAATAATTCAATAATTGCGTATGATGACAAAGTTAACCTTTGAATCCACGAGTTGATCTAAGCTATACCAGCATCAAAAACCTGTAAGCACTAGAAGGCAGTTTCGTGCTAGTATAAGACACATCAGCAGTGTACATCTATGGTCCCACACACGAAACTAGAACTCAAGATCTTCGGTCTCACTTGCTCACTCTTAAACTCCAGACCACCGAGACTTCATCCAGTGGTGTTAACAGCAAACTTCAATCAATCCATAGTCATGCCCAACTCTTCATCCATTGATTGAGGTAGATATCTATCTTACATACGATACTGATTAAACTCCACTGATCATGGTTTCTTACTAGACCTCCAGGAAATCCATCTTGAAGCTAGTTACTAGTTAACATACGATTATTATCATTATGAGAATTTGTGGAGATTTTAGTATTTTTCCAGTTAATATTCACGAGTCGCAAACGAAAGATCTTAGATGCGTTCTGCTGAGTATTCCCATAATAGAACGAAATGGTCGTCCTGCGCTTGGTCTAGCTTAGACTAACTAGCGAATTGAACTCGTAAATATACCGCACTCTTAACAACTCCCAATAACGACATACAAATATCATTCAAAGATTATTCAGTTTGAATAAATTTGAACATAGGACGATTTATTGCAATATTTAAATGATTCTATTACAAATTATCCGATTGTTGAGACATCCTGACAAACTGAATAGTATCTCTACTTCTCCTCCTCCTCCTCCTCCTCCTCCTCCTCCTCCTTCTCATCATCATCATCATCATCATCATCATCATCATCATCATCATCATCATCATCATCATCATCATCATCATCATCATCATCATCATCATCATCATCATCATCATCATCATCATCATCATCATCATCATCATCATCATCATCATCATCATCATCATCATCATCATCATCATCATCATCATCATCATCATCATCATCATCATCATCATCATCATCATCATCATCATCATCATCATCATCATCATCATCATCATCATCATCATCATCATCATCATCATCATCATCATCATCATCATCATCATCATCATCATCATCATCATCATCATCATCATCATCATCATCATCATCATCATCATCATCATCATCATCATCATCATCATCATCATCATCATCATCATCATCATCATCATCATCATCATCATCATCATCATCATCATCATCATCATCATCATCATCATCATCATCATCATCATCATCATCATCATCATCATCATCATCATCATCATCATCATCATCATCATCATCATCATCATCATCATCATCATCATCATCATCATCATCATCATCATCATCATCATCATCATCATCATCATCATCATCATCATCATCATCATCATCATCATCATCATCATCATCATCATCATCATCATCATCATCATCATCATCATCATCATCATCATCATCATCATCATCATCATCATCATCATCATCATCATCATCATCATCATCATCATCATCATCATCATCATCATCATCATCATCATCATCATCATCATCATCATCATCATCTTTCAGTTATTTACATTAGAAACATCATTAGGTCTTCATGTTTATTTTATGGCTATTATTATTAATACGATTATCATTTTAATTGCTCCAATATTTTTATGACTGTCATAAATTTTTTTACGATGCGAAAATTTCCCTTGTGATATGTAAAAATTAAAATATCACTTATTCATTTTATCTATGGACATTGTAGTTTACTTTCCCCTAAATGCCCTAGTACGGCCGAGAGTGGGGAGAGTCCGCTCTCCCTCTCCAAATGCTCTCACATGGCCACACGTATATAGCCTCTGCCAGGGAAGTCCTACTCACTGCCTTCTCACACCACGGGTGTTGTTTACGAAAGTGAGAGGACGAAAAGTGATTGTTCGGTGCTTTAACCGGGTTGATAGACATGGAGAGTTCACCGAGGGGAGTTGGAAAACCCTGATTCCAAACCAATGGTTTACATGAGATCCAGTATCCTAAAGAAACAAATGGAGTATGAACCAATTATTGGTCCTCGGCTGCCATGGAACTGCATCTCCTTACATCGCTCCACTGCCTTGTGAATCAGACCTTTAGGTCGAAGGCTCCGGGTGTGGCTCCCTAGGTAAACCACCTGTTTCGATTTGGGCACCCGGGCAGTATCACATCTCTCACACATATCAAACGAGATTTGGTGTGACGCCTATGTATTTGATGCCTCCTTGTACCAATATCTATATGTTAAAATAAATTTGATGCCTCCTTGTAATTTACTTACATAGCATTCAGTTAAGTGGATGGTCAATATATATATATATACGCATACATTCACATTTATAGAAATAGAGATTCATTTATTTCATTCTTGAATATCAACAATAAAAAACCGAAAATCTTGGTAATATCTTCATGTTTGTTGAAGTAATCTGAACTTATTAGCTCAGTGAATAAAGCATTCGATGTTCAAAGCAATAAGTAATCAGTTGAAATATCAGTGAAAACATTAACACTGAGATACAGGTACATTAAACTGATGAGGTCTAAATAAGACGAAACTTGGATATTAGTTTTAACTGTTAGTTACAGACCAAGTGTAATTAAGTTTAGGATATAAACTTACACTGAGGAGATCTGCCCAGGAGGCTGATCAAAATCTTAGTCGTAAATATCAATAGATGGTAAT